AGGAATGCAAGGGCTTCCTGCCCAGCCGTGGGGTCCTGCTCCTGGGAGGAAACCGGTCCAGTTCATGGATGTGAGTGATCCCATGGGGGCCTGTTTTGGCTGCATTTTCCCCAGCTAATCTTGCTCCCTCTTCCCAGCTAACTTTCCCTTCCCGCTGTCCTCCTGCTTAGCTATCTCCCCCAACTATTGCTTCCTTAGTCACTCCCCTCTCCAGATACTCTGCTTCCCCAGGTAGCTTCCTCTCTAGCTCTCTCCCTTACCTGGTGGCTGCCCTCCCTAGCAGCTCCCCTCTCTACCTGCTTTGCTTTTCAGTTGCTCTTTTCTTCCGATGCTCCCCATCCTCAGCTCCTCTCCTCCCCAGCAGTTTTGCCTTTGTCAGTTGCTCCACCCTCCCCTGTTCCTCTCCACTTCCTGCTACTTCCAGAGTTTCTCCTCTGAGTTTTACCCTTCCCAGCTTCACCTCTGCTTCCCTTCCTGGGCTTCCTCCCACCCCACTTGCTTCTTCCTCAGTTTTTCACTGGCTGCAGCACTGGTCTCCTTACCTGGTCTGGTGTCCCCATACATGTCTGGGCTTTGCTTCTTGTCCACAGTTCGAGGGGAAAACATCATTTGCAATGTCAGTGTTCAACCTCAGCAATGCTATCATGGGCAGTGGCATCATACCATGGCCCACACAGGGGTGCTCTTCTTCCTGTGAGTCCAGAGGTGGCCTGGGGAGCTTGGGGTGTTGTGGGGCAAGCGGGAGGCCTGGGGACAAGTCTGAGCTGTGTCTTCCACCACAGGGCCCTGCTGCTGTGCATTACACTTCTGTCTTCATACTCTATCCACCTCCTGCTGACTTGTGCTGGTGTTGTAGGTGAGCCCCTGAGCCAGAATCCCAGTCCCACCCCTACCCTTTGGAGTCTAGGCTCTAGACCTAGATCCAGAGCTCAGCCTGGATCTTGGATTCTGCACCCTGGACCTAATCTCCTGACTACAGACCTCAGACTTCAGCCCACATCCGAAACTCTGGACATACCATCCTACCCCACACTCAGCTCTCTGGACTCCAGACTCCACACTGAGCCTTGGCCCTCAGACTTTATCTGGGCTCTCAGATCTCCAATTTCTAGGACCCCCCCATCTAGTCATCAGACCCCATTACTCAGACCCTCTCCACTGCTAAACCACTACACTCTACCTCAACCCCCACCCCTCAGTCCCTAGCACCTATACTCTGAAAGCCAATCTCATAACCTTGAGAGTGCCTCTCCACAGAGTCCGGTTTCCCAGCTCCTACTGCTCCACATCCTAGGCTTCACCCCTCCTCTGCTCTCAGTCCATATCTTAGCTCCAAGTCCCCCACTTCTACCTTCTCTGTGGCTACCAATTCCTGGCCTCAGATTCCACCTCTCAGAATAGCCCCAAACTCAACTTTTACCTCCAGTCTCCATCTTTCAGACCCACCTCCCTTAAGCCTCAGTCCCTCAGCTCCCAGACCTTTTGGCCCCCAAATCCTCATCTCTTGTCTGACCTCCTGGACCCATAGCACCTTCCTTTCCCAGGCATCCGAGCCTATGAGCAGCTGGGACAGAAGGCATTTGGACCTGCAGGGAAGGCAGTAGTGGCTGGGTTCATCTGTCTGCATAATGTTGGGGGTGAGGACTCCAGAAGGTGGGGGGTTAGATTTGGGGAAGAGGGTGGGATAAGGTTGGTTTTCCCAGGCTGGGTTGGGGAAGAACGTTGGGGGCTGATGGGAATCCTTCTGCTTATACCGTCCCCCACCTGCACCAGCCATGTCCAGTTACCTGTTCATCATCAAATCTGAACTCCCCCTGGTTATTGGCACCTTCCTGCACATGGACCCAAGGGGTGAGTGACCTGTAGACCTGTGACTGCCTGTGATTTCCAGCTGGTGTCCACACCTCTGCATGTCCAGCTGACTCCTAGGTGTTCTCTTTTGAAACTGTCGGGCAGGCTAATTGGGTCAGACTATGATTTCTGTGTATTATGTGACTATTGCTTGGACTATAGGAATCCAGTAGACCATATGCTGAATTCGTGACTGTTATTCTGGTTGGTGACTAACTCTGCATGTCTAGTATACTCTGATGTTGATTGTGTGTGTGTGTGACTGTAAATATCCAGTAGACTTAGACTGTGGTTTTTTTGTTTGTTTGTTTGTTTGTTTCTATGTTTTTGAGAGGTTTTCGCTATAGGGCGCGTGTGCTCGCCAGACAGACAGAGAGAGACAGAGAGACAGAAAGTGAGAAATCACCCCCCAGGGGGGATGGCCACGCCACAATCCCTTCTCCTCCATTCTCCTCTCGGGATCTTGGGCACGCACGCACACGCGCTCGGCGTGAGTCTTAAGCCACCGGGTCCGGGACGTGAACCGCGGTCAACTACGTGGGAGTCCAGCGACATAGCCATTATGCTAACTGCTGGTTCCCGACTCTGTGGGTTTGATTCAGTGACCGTTGTACTGGCTAATCCTCTCTGGCCAGCCATATGACTGACTGTAGCTGTGTCCTGCATACTGTGATTCCAACCATATGTGTCTGACTCTTGGTTACTCTGACTTTCCCTGTCCAGCTGATTCTAGGAGATTGATTCTGCACATGTGCAGACAGTATACTGCAGTGCCACCTATATCTTTGTGACTTGCTCAGACTGTATGTGTCCAATCAGTTCCATCTCTGTGTTAGATTTGATGACTGTCATTCTTGAAAATTTTCCCTGACTCTGTGTGTGTGTGTGTGCGTGTGAGATTCCTTACTATGACAGTATATGTCCTCTGTATTAAGGCTGTATATCCTCCTGACTGCGTGTTTGATTCTAGATCCATCATGCTGTCTGCATCTGTCTGGTTGTGTATGACACAACTTCAGCCATGTTGGAGTGTGCGTGTGCATGTGTGTGTGTGTGCGGTGTACTGTGGTAATGTGCTTTTTCTCCAAATGCATGTGTCTAGCTGCCTCTATGTTTAATACATGACTCGATGTGTCCAGTGACCAACTCTGACTTATCCCGTGGGTGTTGCATGGTGTGGACGTGTGTGACTGGTTTTATCAGTCTGACTCTACGTTAGTCGGTCTGCATGTCTGTCAGACAGTTTTAGCTGAGATCTTGCTTTTTATGATCTGTGTGTATACTGTTAGATCTTTGGTTTGATTCTGAAAATGTGTAGGTAGCTGGCAGTGTGACAAGGTATGTCTAATTATTATAATTAGCCTCCACTCTATATATGGACAACAGCACTTTGTTGGCTTATTTCCATATAACAGTGTGTATAAGATAGAAAAAGAACATGTGAATGCCTGGAACATAGTAGGCATTCAATAAAGTTCTTTTGAAACAATGAGCAGTTGTTCAGCAGCTTTTGTATTAACTGACTGTCTTGCCTGGGCATCTCCTTCTTCTTTTTTTTTTTTTAAATTTTATTTATTCATTCATTTACTTTAATTTGACCACAGAGATGCAGAGAGAAAGAGAGAGAAGGAAAGTGAGAAAGCAAGCCACCAGGTCCAGGACTTGAACTGCGGTTGACCATGTAGGAGTGTCCAGTGCCTTAACTCCCATGCCACCGGGTGTCTCCTTCTAATACTTGTACAGATCGCACTCTATTTTTTTTTTTTGAGAGAGATTTTTAAAAAATAATTATTTTATTTAACTTTATTTATTTACTTATTTTTTAATTTGACCAGGGGTGGGAGCAAGGAGAGAAAGTGAGAAAGCAAGCTGGCAGTTTCAGAACTTTAACCACGGTCGGCTTTTGTTTGTTTGTTTGTTTGTTTCTATGTTTTTGAGAGGTTTTCGCTATAGGGCGCGTGTGCTCGCCAGACAGACAGAGAGAGACAGAGAGACAGAAAGTGAGAAATCACCCCCCAGGGGGGATGGCCACGCCACAATCCCTTCTCCTCCATTCTCCTCTCGGGATCTTGGGCACGCACGCACACGCGCTCGGCGTGAGTCTTAAGCCACCGGGTCCGGGACGTGAACCGCGGTCAACTACGTGGGAGTCCAGCGACATAGCCATTATGCTAACTGCTGGTTCCCGACTCTGTGGGTTTGATTCAGTGACCGTTGTACTGGCTAATCCTCTCTGGCCAGCCATATGACTGACTGTAGCTGTGTCCTGCATACTGTGATTCCAACCATATGTGTCTGACTCTTGGTTACTCTGACTTTCCCTGTCCAGCTGATTCTAGGAGATTGATTCTGCACATGTGCAGACAGTATACTGCAGTGCCACCTATATCTTTGTGACTTGCTCAGACTGTATGTGTCCAATCAGTTCCATCTCTGTGTTAGATTTGATGACTGTCATTCTTGAAAATTTTCCCTGACTCTGTGTGTGTGTGTGTGCGTGTGAGATTCCTTACTATGACAGTATATGTCCTCTGTATTAAGGCTGTATATCCTCCTGACTGCGTGTTTGATTCTAGATCCATCATGCTGTCTGCATCTGTCTGGTTGTGTATGACACAACTTCAGCCATGTTGGAGTGTGCGTGTGCATGTGTGTGTGTGTGCGGTGTACTGTGGTAATGTGCTTTTTCTCCAAATGCATGTGTCTAGCTGCCTCTATGTTTAATACATGACTCGATGTGTCCAGTGACCAACTCTGACTTATCCCGTGGGTGTTGCATGGTGTGGACGTGTGTGACTGGTTTTATCAGTCTGACTCTACGTTAGTCGGTCTGCATGTCTGTCAGACAGTTTTAGCTGAGATCTTGCTTTTTATGATCTGTGTGTATACTGTTAGATCTTTGGTTTGATTCTGAAAATGTGTAGGTAGCTGGCAGTGTGACAAGGTATGTCTAATTATTATAATTAGCCTCCACTCTATATATGGACAACAGCACTTTGTTGGCTTATTTCCATATAACAGTGTGTATAAGATAGAAAAAGAACATGTGAATGCCTGGAACATAGTAGGCATTCAATAAAGTTCTTTTGAAACAATGAGCAGTTGTTCAGCAGCTTTTGTATTAACTGACTGTCTTGCCTGGGCCCCTCCTTCTTCTTTTTTTTTTTTTAAATTTTTTTTATTCATTCATTTACTTTAATTTGACCACAGAGATGCAGAGAGAAAGAGAGAGAAGGAAAGTGAGAAAGCAAGCCACCAGGTCCAGGACTTGAACTGCGGTTGACCATGTAGGAGTGTCCAGTGCCTTAACTCCCATGCCACCGGGTGTCTCCTTCTAATACTTGTACAGATCGCACTCTATTTTTTTTTTTTGAGAGAGATTTTTAAAAAATAATTATTTTATTTAACTTTATTTATTTACTTATTTTTTAATTTGACCAGGGGTGGGAGCAAGGAGAGAAAGTGAGAAAGCAAGCTGGCAGTTTCAGAACTTTAACCACGGTTGGCTGTGTGGGAGTCCAGCACCCCTAACCACCACACCACCTGCCAACCCCGAGAATTTTTTTTAAAGATCTCACATATTTATTACTGAAAGCAACCTACCAATGCAGAACTTAGAAACAAAGTGAAGCATCATTATTTCCCAATAAACACAAGTGTCCAGTCAGTGGGGACCATTTTCAATTTGATGTGGCAAGACCATAGTGACCTTGGTACAGCATAAATATGTAGCCCATATCCTGTCCAGTTCCTCGTAGATCCAGCTTGGTTCTTCTCCAGTGTCTCCTCTTGGGGTTGTATCTGATCTTATTACCAGTTTTTATTCTAATCCACTGGGGACTAGGACAATTTTGCTTCTGGTTTTTGGCCAGAAACTGCTTGATTCTGAAAGTCTTGTGAGAAGACATGGTGAAGAGCCAAGTGTTCTGCACACTCCATGATGGCGGAGAAAGGAAGAGCCCGAGATTTTATTTTTTAAAGAGGGAATTTTGCTATACAGGCTTGTGCACTACTGGAGAGAAAGAGATAGAAAGTGAGAGATCAACTCCCATGGGGTGATGGCCACTCCATAATCCCTTTTTTTCCATTCTCCTCTTGGGATTTTGGACACACACGCACACATGCCTGGCGTGAGTTTGAAGTCTCCTAATCTGGGACTTGAACTGTGGTCGACCATGTGGGAGTCCAGTGACATAACCATTATGCCATCTGCTGGTCCTGAGAGAGAGATTTTTTGTTTTCTATAGCGTGTGTGCCAGAGAGACAGAAAGCAAGAAATCAACCCTTCCCCCAGGGAAAATGGCCACATCACAATCCCTTCTCCTCCATTCTTCTCTCAGGATTTTGAGCATGCATACACACGTGCCTGGTGTGTTTTAAGCCACTGGGCCCAGGACTCAAACCACAGTTGACCATATGAGAATCCAGCGAAGTACCATTACACCATCTGCTGGTCCCTATGAAGCTTACTCTTTTTTTAAGCTTGGCGCTAAGAGTGTGGCCAACTGGCTGATGCTATTTCTATTTTAATTTTTCTTTGGCTGAATGGACAAATCAGCCCAGGTACTGTAAAGCATCCAACAACCCTTGAGCTGTTCAGACAAGCAAGCATGTATGTTTCTGACTTTTTTTGTTCTTTTTGCTAGAGAGTACATGTGCTCTCCAGAGAGAGGGAGAGAAGCAGAGAGGCAGAGAGAGAGGGAGAAGAAAAAACACCCCTCCAGGGAATAGTCACACCATTATCCCTTCTCCATTTCCCCCTCCTTTTGGGATTTTGGGCACATAAGCACAGGTGCCTGGCATGTTTCTCAAGCTGCTGAGCCTAGGACACAAACTGTGAGGTCAATGATATGGGCTCTGACTGCCTTAACCACCAGGCCATGACCGACTCTATTTCTTACTTTTCAACTGCATTATTGCTTGTCTACCAGATGATCAGAGATGTTCTACCTGTCAGACATGTCAGAGTCATGACTCACTCTGTCTTTGTGTCTGGCCTTGTCCTTGACTGATTTTTACTTTGAGCCTGACTGATTTGGGCTGTTTTACCATCTGGTTCTATGTTCATTTGCGAATCTGATGGCAAGTTTTATCCAGCTATTCATGTTTTTAGCTGTGTTCCACTGCAGGTGTCCAAGTGACAGTCTCATAATCAACCTGACTGTTTCTATCAACCCTGTTGTGCCATTTGTCACTGTAACCACCTGAATGACTTCTTACAGCTGAGGTGTCAGCACGTTTCTCCTGATTTGGGGTAGAAATCTGTCTGACAGTTTTCTTTGGCTGGTGGCTACTAGCTGTGTCTCCCTAGGGACTGGTTCTTGAAGGGAAACCTCCTCATCATCATTGTCAGTGTGCTTGTCATTCTGCCTCTGGCCCTCATGAAATACTTGGGTAAACAGCTTCCTGAGTTGGGTTGATATGGGCTAGTGGGTTAGTGATGGGGAGCCAGACAGAAAAATCCCGATTTTTTTTTTTCTTTTAGTTGCCAGAGAAAGAAACAGAGAGAGAGGAGGAGAAAGCACTGTCCTCAATGAGGCAGGATCACTCCACAATCCCTTTTCCTTCATTTCTCCATCCTGTCAGGATTTGGGGCATGCAATGCACTGTGCTGAGGGTGTTTGTGCCAAGGGTGTTTCTCAAGCTGCTAGGGCCAGGATTCAAACTGTGGCTGGCTATGTGGGATCCAGCTCTCTTCACTACTAGGCTATACAGTGCAGGCCCCAAGTCCTCATTTTCTTTCTTCTTCTTCTTCTTCTTCTTCTTCTTTTTCTTTTCTTTTCTTTTCTTTTCTTTTTTTTAAATTTTGTCAGAGGGCATGTGTGCTCACCAGAGAATGGAAAAGCGAGAAAGTACCCCCCCCATGGAGGATGATCATACGGCAGTCCCTTCTCTGTAGTTCCCTCCTTTTGGGATTTTGGGCATGCACACACATGCCTGGTGTGTTTTCCCAACCAATGGATCCAGGACTCTGACTATGCAGTCAGTCAAATGGGATCTAGCCTCCTCAACCACTTTGCCACTGGCTAGCTTTAAACCCCATTTTTCAAAGACTATAGAACAGCTTATTTGATATGGGTTTTAACAGATTATTAAGAGTTTACTATGGAGAGGAGGGAGGTCTGGGTGGAAGTTAAAGCTTATGCAAAGGTAATTGAGGTGAGGGGTCCTTGAAGGCCAGATTAGGGGTTGGGGTTTACTGTTGGAGGAGTTCTTTGATTTCTGAGGCTCTGTGTATCACCCCTTGTAGGCTACCTGGGGTATACCAGTGGTCTCTCTCTGACCTGCATGCTGTTTTTCCTCATTGTGGTGAGTTGGAGCGAAGGATATGAAAAAGTGGGGAAAAAGTTTGGGACATTGGGACAGGACCTTTCTTCCCTACCCTTAAGTCTTGCCCCTATTCCCCACCCCAGCTCATCTATAAGAAGTTCCAGCTTGGCTATGCTGTTGGCCGCAATGAGACAGCAATGGAGAGTGAATCCTCACCAGACCTCTCCGCCCAGGGGCTCAACAGTAGCTGTGAGGCCTAGTTGTTCACAGTAGACTCTCAGGTGGGTGTGCAGACGTCGAGGGGCTTGCACCACACATAGACCCTCTTGTCCTGTCACACAGGGCCTCCTTCTGAGGGTGGAGCCAGGTATTGGATATCCAGGGCTTTTACGTGTCTGATATAGAGAGCAATCGCAGGGCCAGTGGATGGAAGGAGGGCCTGGACCCCTCTGGGCTCTAATCCTGTGTACTTTGGCTATTCCCCTAGATGTCTTACACAGTGCCCATTATGGCTTTTGCCTTTATCTGCCACTCTGAGGTGCTGCCCATCTACACAGAGCTCTGCCGGTGAGTGCTACAGGCCAGTGGGCAAATGTGATGGGCCAACAGATGGGGTGACAGTCATAATATCTGATAATCCCTACAGCAGTCCTGGGACTAAATATTCTATTTCTTAAAAATTTTTTAAATTTATTTATGGGACCAGCAGCCGGTGTAATGGCTATGTCGCTGGACTCCCATGTAGTCGACCATGGTTCGAGTCCCGGACCTGGTGGCTTAAACTCACGCTGGTCGTGAGTGCGTGCGTGCCCAAGATCCCAAGAGGAGAATGGAGGAGAAGGGATTGCGGCATGGCCAGACCCCCTGGGGGATGATTTCTCGCTTTCTGTCTCTCTGCTTCTCTCTGTCTTTCTGGCAAGCACATGCACCCTATAGCAAAAA